TAAAAATGGTTCGCAAAGTTTAAAAATGGCGACTTTGACCTTGAAGAAACGCCTCTAAGTGGACGAGCTGCAGAATTCGACAAAGAGCATCTGAGGCACTATTGAAGGAAGACGATCGTCAAACAACTCGTGAATTGGCTGATTATTATAATAATAATTAAATAGTTTATAATTATAATTATTATTATTTTTTCATTGAAAAAACTTCACGGAACTTATGTTACAACCCAATACTAAGGCAATATAGGATTTTTGGATTTTTTCACGATTTTTCAGAAATTTCTGCCCCAATACTGAGGCAGAAATTTCTGAAAAATCGTGAAGAAATCCAAAAAATCCAGCAAATATTTTCATCTAAGTGGCCACGGCTTACGATCCGAGGTCAAAATTTTTTTCAAATGAAATTCGAGGGCAAAAATCCGTATGAGTCACCCGGCAATTAAACGAAGATTCCTACTGTTTGTATGATTTCACCAGACTTTGTTTTACTGTATTATACAAAACAATTATATTTTGAAGTAATTTTAGGAAGGAAGTAACAATTGATGACATTATGTAAATGTCAAAATATCCGCAATTTATCAAGCTAATCTTGTTCTTCAGCCTTTGATAACTTTTTGCTTTTGCTGATGCAGAGTGAATTCATTGCTTTACATAATTTACTTGGAACAAACGTAAGGATTATGCTTGAACTGCAATTTGAAAGTAATCAAATATGTCATAATTACCTATTTAGCCTCGAGATTTATGTTCGATATACTGATGATACCTGTCTGCAAATGAAAAGGGACTGTAAATGTTTATTCAGATAAAGCGAATTCGACTTAGTTGAGCCTTCTCTAACAAAAAGGTTGTTGGCAGAGGATCTCATTCCAGAAAGAAATTATTCGCCCTATCTTGAAAGAGTGGATAAGATGGCAAACCCATTCATTATTGAGCATAGTCATCTGAGGCTCTGAATGGGTGTTACAGATAAAACTTACTGAATCCCAGCAATTGAGCTTGACAATTAGTTCAGGAAAGCCAGGCTACGCTTAACAGCAAGCAGGGCTTCGTAAAAGCATCGTGAAATGTGGGATAAACATAACGGCTGATGGTACTACTCCCCGAATTCACAAGGCAAACGACAGCGGTTTCGCAGCGACTACCGTATCCTTCACTGGGAATCCAAGCTTTCCCTCCACAGATTTTTGGGAAAAAGATACCACACCCAAATGTGAACCAATCAATGATCTAGCTCATGAGCTTTATTTGATAAACTTCAGTACCTTGAAAAAAAAAGGAGAATGATGCTCCGATAAGCATGAATGTTCTTAGCTCCTACGATATGAAGGAGCTAACAAAAATGAACAGCTCATCCTTTCACCAAGATAATCTTACAAGGAGAAAATGTAGTGAAAAGATGACGTTTTCAAAGTTGTTCTTGACTGAGAGTTTCTACGCCTTCAAATACTCACCTAACAGCTGATCCCGTTCTCCATGCGTCAGCACGACGACAATTGCTGAAGACGCGAACTGATGTTGAGGATCACTGGCGAAATCCCTTATCCGAGATAACATCTCCTCAAAGAAATACAATTATTCTGGCGTTGTTTCGGTTCAGGAAGGAAAGCCGACCATCAGTTAAAGGTTACGGTCTTTACGATATTTGCATCAAAATGCCAAAGGACAAAGGGTGACCTCATAAAGGTTTTTGAATGTTTCGACTGTTTCTGTAGTTACAATGCGGAGGGTAGTGTGCTGGAAGGCCCGAGACAGTCACCTTCTAGAGTGAAGCTGGAACCCATCCATAGCCAGAACTATAAATCCTCTAAGTCCCAATACCACTTTCCTTCTCAACATCATGTGGGAGGGAGCTCTATGATTGAGGATATACTCGTATGTGAGCCCTTGCGAATCTTCCCTCAATCTGAGTCGAGGTTACCATGGTCTCGCTTCGTAGTATGATTCTTGCTCCCCTACGGTAGCCTTGATTGGAATTGAGCCCGACGAAATAAGTGTGAGGTGGTATCGATTCCCTATCGGCTATCTGCGAGGATTTTGTGGAAACTAGTCAATCAAAGTTTTTTTACGAATTCGCGTTGGCTAGAAACCTCCCATGGCCAGCCATTTGATGCTGCTTCCGATATCTCATCTTTAAAGGCACTGTTCACGAAAAAAATGGTTTCGGAGATCTGCACATGGTTTGAATTCGACGCCCCCTCTGATACCATTTGTGCAGGAATGAGGTCGGAAAACGGTCTGGATAGGGCACAATAAGGGCAGGAACAGTGGGGGACGGGAGGCCTCCGCCCCTCTCTAGGCTGACTACGAGCTCTAATTGCCCTTCACCACATTCGCATTGGAGCNACATTGCGTCGCCTTCGTGCACTCGCCCGAACACTCCCTTAACCGCCGTTCTCCAATGTTAAACTCGTCCAACCCCCCTTTCCACCTCTTTTTTGACCCTTTCTATTTCTTTTTGTTCATCGTTTTTTGCGCTTTTTTCGTTGTTATCGCTTTATTCTAGAGTAGTTCTATGAATTCCCGTCAAAAAAGGGTACCTTAAGTTTATCGTAAACGGTGCCTTTAAGCAACCGAACTTTTTCGAATACACGCAAAAATTGTTTGCTACCGTATCTCAGGAAGTAAAACCAACATCTCGATATCTTCCTTTTAAAACGTCGACTGAACCTCTACTGTGTGACATGATGATGTGATTCCATGATGGCCATTATACATCATTATTATGTATTATGTGTCAGGAAATTATGGTACTATCACAAATTTTACTTTTAATAATCATACCTTACAACTGAGATCATTTTCAATAATGACCCTGTACCCTAGTTGATGAAATAAGCTTTTTAGATTCCTGCAGTCAATGTCTGTTCCCTGACGTCGAGGCATCGATATGAAGTTCTCATTATTGAATATCAAGCAGAGGCCTTTGGGTATGGAGAAATTTGGGTAAATCTGAATGGTAACTGTAAGAGTAAAGTGGTAGAGTGAAGAATATTTCAAAAACCGCCACTAACTGATTTCCGATCTCTCAGATACATTTCCATTTCAGGTGAATGATTACTGTCAATCATATCCACATGAAGATGTTCCAGCAAACCAGCTGGCTCCATTGGAGGCATCTCTAAATATGGTAGAAGATGGCCAGGAAAGGTTAGTCAGCTCATGGAAAGCCCCTTACCCATTCTATTCATTTTGACTCGCCATGCAATACTTGTATCTCCATTGTAGCGCGGCTCGTGCTCGTTTTCTCTGAAAATAGGTTCTGATTCAGGCGAAAATCGAAACCAGTGGAACGATCGGTTTCTCTCCGTTTCTAGATAGAACAAATAAGTACAGCTTATCTTAATGGGCTTGCTACAGTATCCCCAATGCGAGTCATCGTGCTCAAAAAAGGCTGTAAAGGTTACTTTTATCTCATTCTTAGGGCACCGCTACAACCACAGTGTTTACTTCCTACACGATCGGATCATATATGAGTATGAGCCTTATATTCGGAGATGCCTTCCCTTCACTTTTAGTTACCCAGTCTCGGTGTGACGAGGTGGTTCTCCAATAAGAATCCTCCCCTTTCTAATGCGCAAATGCCAAACGATTCAAATGGATATCCATTTCAGGACTCACATCCAGTACGCCTCTTGATGAGTAGTCATTTGACACATGAGTCAAATGACTCCATCAAGGTCATCACGCCAGAACTAGGTCACTACGAGCAGCTCAGGCCGATCTGACACAGCCATTACTCAAGCTGCAGCATTTTTTCAGCCTCCCAAGGAGCGAGCGATATGTTGTTTGACAGGCTTTTCTCTGATTTTGCCTTTGACTTCAATTTTTTATTGAAGGGACCGACATCGTCAAAGTCAGAAATGTAACTCTTCATCTCACCTCATTAGAACTAGGCTCATAAAAAAATTGAAATTAATGATACAAAGCGAAACTCACAAACTCTGAATTACGGCATCGTCGACTAGAGGCCTCAGTAGATCAGCCAGATGAGGTTGTCGTGCATGAAGTAGTGCTCGGAAAAGGGCATCAAATGCCTTATCACCTCTAGCTTTCACTGAGCGGACTATAGCTGCCCTTTGAGCACTTGGACCTCCAGCACCCTATAAAATCGAACAATCTTTGTAAATTCCTTCTTTTCAGGCCAAAGTTTTTCAAAGGTTTTGGTTATAATTAAAGTGATCATACCTGAATTTTCTCGATGACCATATCGGTAAACACATCCTTGCTTTGGAGGTAATTGCACACATCATCGACTTCCATTTCACGGCTCAGTGCTAGCAGATTTTTATCGAGCAGTTTACGACGTTCATCTCGCATCATCGTGGCTAATCACACGATGACACACGACTTGTTAAAGTCGGCTGCTGCTATCTTTTTTTAAAAAGAAGAAGTCGATAAAATCAAAGGTTTGGATAGGAAGTGATAAAAAAGGAATGAAAGAAACGAAGGATGCCCAGTGGGCCAGAACGAAACTGTGTAGATACCGAAAAATAGAAAATGAGCCCTTTTTAAAGACGCCTATTGCAAATTAAAAGGAGACCCTTAGAAGGAGTCAGGAAGCCAACAATTGTCTTTAACAATAGGATGAAATGAGTGCAAAACAAAGCTAAATTGAGAATGGTTCGGGTGCACAAGTACTAATAAAGAACAATACATTGGGTCGTTCAAAAGGACATGAGTATTGAATCCGGGTAATTTCGCCCGCGAGAAAAACAGACAAGTCCTCTTTCAACAGAAACTGAGAAGTTAGCTAAAACGGAAAGAAAGCGATCATCGAAATAGTGAAAAGCGAAATGTAGAGGGGCCGATGCCAAACTAGAAGGTAGGCTCATTAAAATATCGGACGAGCTCTCAACACACAAAGGAACATTTCCGATCCGACTGCGATTGCATAAAATTAACGGCTATAAAGCTGGGTCAACGGGTCAATTATCATATGAATTACTCAAATACAGGGGCAATTGAAGGGACAAAGGCCGACTGGCAGCAACAGGTAGGACCAGAATAAGCATTGCTAAGCTAGGTCTAGGAAGGGCTTTTCACCTAATCATCACCTAAATCTATCCCTTTCCTTTACTGTTTTCAAATCAGAGTTAAGCAGGTAACTATGGAAGGATATCGAATAGGTACTTGCTGGACCCTCGCTTAACGTACACCCGAGAACCAGTATGGGGTTCTCCCTCGAAAGTTGTCAATCAGAAAGATTTCTTGACACGATGATCAAGGTACTTCCTAATAACATAGCTAACGGGAAAAAAGTTATAAAAATTTCCAAAAAAAAGTAAGGGTGTTAAAAAAACAGAAAATGATGAAAAATGAAGGTAAACCCGCAGGCTCAAGTTCCAATCAACTTGTAGTAGCCAAAAACACAAAACAAAATAAAATTTAATATCTTTTAATCAGAGCCACATTACAGTAATAGAGATGCACAGGAAGACTTCTGCAAGGTACGCAGGGTACATTATGAAATAAAGCCAGAGGTAATAGGATAAGGGGGATGACAATTAGAATAGGCTAGTATCCATTTGGACCAATGCCAAATGCGCCGAACGGCTGGCAATGAAACAATACAGACAGCATGCGGCATCAATTAAATGCAGATGTACAGCAGCACTACTGTATACACTTGGAACGAGGGAATCGACCTTGCCGGCGTATTTCATAACATTCACTCTTCAACATAACCCCTAGACAATAGATTTTCTCTCAGGCAATAGGCAAGTGAAATACCATTTTAAAATGAGGCAAAAAGCGAAAGCAAACACTGAAATCAGAGGGTCGTAACATTCAAAAGGAACCAAATTAANTGGAACGAGGGAATCGACCTTGCCGGCGTATTTCATAACAATCATCTCTTCAACATAACGCCTAGACAATAGATTTTCTCTCCGACAATAGGCAAGTGAAATACCATTTTTAAATGAGGCAAAAAGCGAAAGCAAACACTGAAATCAGAGGGTCGTAACATTCAAAAGGAACCAAATTAAATAAAAGTATTATTAAGAATTCGAACGTACATCATAACCTTTGACTAAACCAGCGACGATCAGGAATCACCTGAAAAGAGGTAAGAACAAGATTAAATCGAACCTCCTCGACCGAACAAACAAAACCAGTACACTACTCAAAAGATATCGCAAAAACTGCGCCAAGTGAAACTGAAATTCGCGATTTTTTCTATGATCGGCATTCATCTCATCACTGAAAAACTTTTTCGACCTCTGAAAACTCATCCCGTTCTTCACAGGCAGAAATCCAAGGTCAGCTAGCGATTTCATAACAAAGTGGTACAAAACGATGTTGGAGCAATCGCGATACCATCTTCTGTCCGGGGAATAATCGACAGGAATATCCTACAGTACTGCAGGGCTAATCTTCGAGAGGATGAATTATTTGCCTCCATTTATGTGAAAAGGTCAGGCGTTAGAGTTTATGTAAGGCGCCATGCATTCAACTTAATAGGAAACCCATCCTCAAAATGGAATGGTGTTCCTGTTACGAAGGATGTAAAATCTCAAAGTTGCTTATAAACATGGGTTCCCTACTAAAATGTTCTAATGGTACGCAAATTGGAACTCCTTTGCGGGCCCAGACGAGGGCCTTAACTGGGGAAAACTTAACAGACCTAAGCTTGTATGAAGCGTAGACTGGCCCTGGTGAATCCAGTCTTCACGGAGGTCTTGCGGTGCTTCAATAAAATAGCACGTGGTGCTCGCCATGATACTTCTTCTCCTGCACCCAAATGGATCATTATGATAACTGCACCTTTTACAAGTAGTTTATAATTCGAGGAGTATCGGCATCACATCGTTGTTGACAGGGTTATAGACCTGGACGCTAGCTAAATGGAATTTCCCCCAACGTCGGATTTTTCGGATGCCAGCATATTCGTGCTTACTTTCATAACCCTGAAGATAAGCCAGCCAATCCACTTTGAATACTGGTATCACGAGTATAGAGTGTATAATTCGTTAGGGAGTAGGAATAGGGAAGTTAATTATGGGTTCCAAGTCCTCAAATCTCACCAATACAAACTACTTTCGCCTGAACAGCCGACATGCTTTTGAGTAGTTTCCCGTCTTGTTTGAAATGAGAGGCTAACAATGTAGCTCTAACGTTCCCACTCCTAGACGCCAGCTTTTCGTGCTTCCAATAGTCCAGGAAAACCCTTCACGCACTGATACCGTAATCCCACTGGATGAAAGGAAATTCATGAAGAAGTGTTTACAAACCTTGATCCATATTGTCATTTTGGATTTGTTGGGTGAGGGCTCGTACTCTTGCATCGTTCCGTTCCAACACAGCTAACCACTCGTTCAATTCCGCATTTGATTCGTTGATTTGTTTGTTTCTCAGTTTGATCGCTTCGAGTTCCAGGCGAAGTTGCTAGAAAAATCAAGATGAGCATGTATCGCTCTTTCATTGTATAAACCTTTTAGACAGGAGAAGATGCATTGCATCGTATAAACGTACACAAAAAAATTTTTTTATATACTATACTATTACCTTGACTTCCAATTCCAATATTTGATCTTCCAGTTCTTCTTCTTCTCTAGCAGCTTGTTTATCCTCTTCAATAATTTGCTTAACTTCTTCAATAGACGGCACACCTTCAAGTTCCTCTTGAAGAGCATTTACTTCTGAAATGACAGTTTTACAGAAAGTGTCGCGGACAGGAAAAAACGGGGATCTTCCCATCAAAAGACTACTATTGCCCATGCTCAGGATTCAGTTACTGTACATGGTTTCAGGTTTCAGCAGGCTTTTTAGTTGGTTTCGTAAGAGTAAGATAAGTAGTAAAACCTATGACTTCGATGCAATGCCATCGCATAGCATTCTAGGATGAGAAACTCGACCGAACGACCGTGGATGACTTCGGCTCCGTTTATCACTGGACCATCTACATCATTTCCTTTATTGTAATGGTCGTCATTTTTTGAAGGGTATAACATCACCTCGTTCGACGACGTCAGAGTAATGGAGGACACGTAATCATTACCGAATGCACAAGAGATATTACCCGAGCTTCCACTCAGCTGCCTCATTGTGACATTGCAGTGACAGTCAGCTCCGGGTAATTAAAGTAATTGAGGTTGCCTAAGTATCTGAGTACTAGTAACGCTCGATGGCAAAGCGGCTTAACGTAAGAGATCCCAAGACGGTGATTTGTTCAAAATAATTCTATTACTTTATATTTTTGAAGTCATATTACGACACTTTTTTGAAAATTTGCAAAGAAGGTGAGTTTTGCAACCTGACTCCCATTGCCTCTTTCGAATTTGAGTAAAATGTAAGATTCTACTCTTAGTTACATGATCTCATGGGCTACTTTATAGTACGCCGGCGCCGGCGCCGGCGTGTCGGCCGAGGTAGTGCTATGGGAGGAGGGAGGCAGACGGGACCGGTCGACGCGGTCTCGTCTGCCCCCCTCCCCCTCCCCCCTCTCCCCTCTCCCCTCCCCCCACAGCACTACCTCGGCCGGCCGGCCGGCGGACTATGAAAGCAGCCATGGGCCTACAACAGTGTTCAATGCAACGAGTCACCTGTGTAGAGAAGCTTGTTGAAGCGCTTCGGGAGATGTAAACCACTCATAAATAATTACACACAACCGAGGCCCCTCTAACTACAGTGACACCTGGCCGGCTTCTTTGCTTCTCTTCCTTTGTGTCTTTTGCCAAAGGCCTGTGATGTCTCTAGAGATTGTTTACTAGTAAAGATTGTTCCCGACTCTTATCCGCTATTTGCTAAAATCTTCAAGGTAGCACCGCACCGCACCTCTCTGAAGTTCATCCACACAGCGACACAGCTGGACATCCTCCTCTAGCCTCTTCAAATCCGGTTCATCATTTGCGATAAGTTGCTGAAAAACCATATCCCAATCAAGGCCGGTGAATGACAAAGTGTAAATTACGGTATGATAACCTCAACCACGGATCGCGCCTCTTCAGCAATCTTGGCTCGGGTTTCGGCCCATTCAATTTCAGCACGCATTCGGCTACACATAAGCAGATCTCCATCATCCAAGCTCAACTATAATCAGGCTTCTAATTATCGGCACAGCGAACTATGGAAAAGCCCTGTATAGCCGAATTTTAGTGAAATATAAAAAAAAAATTCAGGGAAACTGAAAATTGAAGTTCCATGAGCAGTTGAAGCTACTTAAAATCAGGCCGATTAAGCAAATTGGTTAAAAAATGCAAAAAAATAGTAATTTATTATTGGGAGCTTTTCTTGGCAATACAAGTAACCTATTCTTGCCAAAGTTTCTCACTTAAAACCCAGAAAATCCGAGAACTTGAGGTAAAAAGTTGTAAAGTAATTACAGCTCTCATGTCCATGTTTATCACAGCATCGGCTTTAGCTGGGAAAACTGCTTGTAGTTTGGGCAGCAACTCCTTTATCTCAGCTGCGGATCTGGAAAATATAAGAGAATTTGAAAGTATAGTGCAAGAAATTTTTTAAATCAAAAGTGACGGATACACATTGTCTTCAAATACTCACTTTTCTTTGACTTCTAGTAACTTTCCCTGTAGATCGCTCAAGATTTCTTCACGAATCAGATTACTTTGGGGCTGATCATCAGCGGGCTCGAGATATTTCACCTAAGCATGAAAATGTAGTTTTACTATGAAATTAAAGATATTGGAAGTACTTCTATGTACCTGCAAGGACTGCGAGTCGAACATCATTCTTTGGCTCACAGATATTGTTTCATCACGCAACGAACGAAGAGACAAAACTGTATCGTCACGTGACGAAGTAGACGTCCGGAATCTACTCCCTATTGGCTGAAGTATAAACCCTTTCTCGCCACCGAATTTCTATTCTGTCTACTGAGTTTTAACTACAAAAACAAGCGACGAACCATGATGGAGACATCTCTTCTTGTTATATTTGTTTCGTTGAGTGACCCATCAATAGAATAAGTCCGATTGTTGGTATGATCCATGGAAACCTTTAAACCATAATGTAGGTAAGAGCAAGTGAATTAAGGCTACAAAAGTTACTGGATTCACACCATTGATCTCTCAACGTTTTCATCTAATGTTCGCATAGTCTCAGCCAATACTGTGTTTCCACCGACGTTTTCTTCTCTCATCGATTTGACTTCAAATTTCTGTTCCTGAATGTTGTCTAGGTAAACCTGCGATGCTAATTGCAAAAAACACTTTTCCAAATATTATTTCATGGAGAAGTATTTGCGCATTTCGTTTTCATGTTGTAAAATCTTCGGGAATGCCTTTGACGTTCACTACGAAACATATGCAAGTGCAGGTCAATGCACTGTGTGATGCGATGAAGTCCATCATTGTCTCCCACAGCACAAAGGTAAAATGGTACCACATGTTCGAAAACGGCCACTTTGACTAGTTCGAAAGACCACGATGTATGAGACCAGCTGAACTGAATCACGACCACCATCTGAAGCTGGCTGCAGAGGATTCCAGCTGTTGTATTACTCATGAGCCGGCAAAGGAGGCTAATAGCCATCACAACACAGTAGCTGCCCCTTTGCACCGTCCCAGAAAGCCTTGGAGGTACGGCGTATGGATGTATGGTCACGAGTTCAAAATGAGTAGAGATGCATGATATGATTTGTTGACTTTCCGAAGCGTCTTTAGATGGCTGCACGACATCGGTTACAAGTAGTGGGTTCTCTACTTAAACCTCATGAGGAAGTGCCAGCGGCTTGGACGAGGAGAGCATAGAATTCTGACCTCCAAAACAGAGCTCAAACCTAAAAAGGGATGCTCAGCGTCCAATTGAATTCTAAAGGGATCGTTCAACGGCAGTTGCTGTCTCACAATCGAGCTTTCAAGTTTAGGAACTGAAAAAGATAAGGGCTGGTTCGAGTACTACTCCTGACTAAACTTATTCGAATAATTGACATCTCTGAAAGAAGTTTTTATCAATGCCACGGCCATCACTCGAAAAAGAGCCTACACGATCAATCAAAATGATTCACCTGTACATCTTCCATGGGTTCATGAATGAATGTATTTGCAGAAACAGCTGCCATTGATGAACTTTTCTCGCACTGAAAAACTTTTTTATTTTGAATTCGATGGAACAAGAGGAAAGCGTAGCTGACCTCGTATGTTACGTCCATCCCCTCATCGCGATCGAGAGCAACGTCATTCCGAAGGATTGTCGAACGTTCGGTGATCTGAACTTCTCATTTTCAATACAAGTACAGAAAGAAGAAGCTAAAGCGAAAACAATACATTATCTTATGCAACTATTTAGCATCAATCGCAGTAATGACCGATATGAATTTCGATGCATTGTATAACTATCAAATCGCACATGTTTTCCACTTATAATAGTGGGCCTACGTAAGTATACCAAAGCTCCTCCTCCTCGCAAACAATTCATAACTCCGTTCAAAAACGCTCTAGCATGGAAAATAAGTGGTTAGAGGCTATGGGAGAACGTAGCCAGATTTCTGAAGTGGACGTGGTCTGCATCAAAGTGGGCGGAGCTAAGGCCGAAAATTCGTAACCCTGTTCAGAAACGTTCTCGAACGCGGGGAAGAAATGGTTAGAGGGAATAGAAGGAATGTGCCCAGATTCCAGGGCCAGTAAAATTCACATTATTACACGTCAATTTTCACTGACTACTGCTATTGAAAAATACTTTTGGCGGAATAAAACACTGACCTTACTTTGCAGCAACGTTTCACTGTCCAAGTGCTCTCCAACAGGGTAACTAGATAGATCTGCCCGTCGCTGGATTTCTATACCTTCTGATTCGGTGACGTCTTGTGTCGACTCACTTCTTGTGCGTCTGCTCTCATTTTTCGATTGGTTAATAGGGCTCAAATGAGACTTTAGCAGTACAGAGTCCTGAAAAAAAAAACAACTACATCCCTATGAAAAAGCAACTTGTGCGTAATAGTACTAAAGAATGCCCACAAAAATACGCTGCACTTGATTAGCGTTAGACTGGAAATTTTACCAGTCTCAGCATGGAATTTTCGGACTTCATTTTACTACCTTTAAATTTTCCTCCCAAAATCGCTAATCCTCCTTTGCTTCATCTGAACAGTGGTCCCACTCAAGCCGTACTATATCGTGTACAGTATTTTTTAATGCACCTAGCTCACCTATCAATTTCATGGGAACATATGTGAAAAGGGAAGAAGAGGGATAAGCAGGAATCCTCGAAGAAAATATTACAATCAAGTTAATAAGGACTCATTTAACAGCAATACCCACAAGAAGTGAAATCGTATCTGAGTAGTGTGCTTCGATAATGAAAATAGAGGAAAATATGAGGAAGCGAGTGAACTCCATAGTTTTTGTGGATTTGGCATTATTGTGGATAAACAAAAACCGAAATTCACAGCCATCATTAGATTAATCCCGTCAAAATGAGCAACTGCAGATAGCTGAACCTATGATTTAGTTTGACATTAAGGTTTAGACATGTGCAGTTGCTTATTGGAACGGTCGCAGCAATGAAATAACCGCTCAAATGAGCGATCCATAACGAAAAAAATAGAAATAATTCGTAAAAAACACTGGTGGCCGATCCTACCTCCCGCCTCATTGAGACCATTGACTTGTCAGGCGTTGTGAACAAATTGATAGTTCCAGACTTGTCCTGCAAGGCACATATTAATTCACTTATCTAATTAACTATTCCGTTCACTCAGTTCAAAAGGCAAACAGTAATTTTTTGTCACTTTGCTTTTTTCGAACTATATGTCGTGCAAGAGGACCGAATGGGAATGATCGCTATGACTCCAAGTTACATTAGTAAAGACTTGTTTGGCTGCAGAAAGAGACTACATGTCCTCAACATCATGAACTTTTCAAAGGCAAATTGTATGGTATAATTAAGTAATGGATACGGTTGTTCCAAATCCACTTCAAAACGAAACCTCTTCAGAAACATGACCCTTCTGAGCAATGATAGCTACAAAATTAAACATAATTATACAAGCTTTGATTTTGGCTAACCTTCGTAGCAGTAGTTCGTGTTTCAGTATGGATGGTAATAGTTGTATTTGCCGGCGGGCTAGGGCAGTGAAAACTACCACCGACAGACGTTGATGTTGTATTTGCCGGTGGACTTGGGCAATAGAAACCACTAGTGGCCGACGATGATGATATCCGACTTTTTCCAGTAAAAGATGAGTCTGTGCGATGTATTCGAGATGTGCGAGGCTGGTCCTTAGCAGTCAGAGATGCCTCAGAGGTGACAAGGTTGACTGTTCCACTGCTTATGTCCATGTCAGCATCGCTGCCCTGAAGAGAATCGGTTGAATTACTGAATTTTTTCGTATGGTACGCACCTCTTCAGCTTCCTTCGCAGCGTTATCGGTAGTAGTATCATTGTGAAGAGGTTCCAAGAGAACGGACTGTAGTAAAGAGAACACAATTTACACATCTGACGAAAATCGAAAAATATACGTAAAAATGGGAGATACCGCTGATTTTGGCCTGACCGCCTCTGCTGACGACGAAACATCATTACCATGAACCGTAGCGTGCGCTTGCGTTTTTTCCTAAAATCTCTTAAGTGTATGAGCAATATGACCACACAGTTGTTTTCGAATGAAAACGAGTGTCTACCACCTCGCCCTTCATCTCCAGTTCTACTTGAAGATGCTTTTTTCTATATATCATCACTTTAGCCTTTCTAAGAACTCTTGACAAAAGAGCAGTAGATTCACCAACTCCAAATTTCATGCACCAAATTGTTATTAAAAACGGCTACACATAATGTTTGAGAACTAATCTTCTGAGGCTCTATTTTTGTGGAACCTTGATCGATTTTGTTGTGTTGTTCTCCCTTAGAGCAGTAATAAATAAATTTACTCATAGAACTCATGATATGACAAACCTCTTCATTGATCTGCGGAAAAATTGTATTTGTCACATCCATATCAGTAGAATTTAGCGATTCGTTCTCCTTAACAGGCTCATTTACTAAGTGCGCGAATAGACACACAAGCAAAAGTTCAAGTCAGGCAGAAAAAATAAGTCGAGTAAGAAGTAAAAAGTGAATGAGTACAAAAACTAAAAAATTAATAATTTGTGAATCCCATTTTCCAGACCTGCAAGCGTCTCAATTTTCCATCTCATGAAAGAGCCACCCTTTCTCGCCAGATTTTTCCTCTACAAACTTTCTTACTAACGTTTTTCACAACCTATTTTTTGACGGAAAAACTCTCATTCGAACATATGAAATGGCGGAGCTATCACAAAACTCGTGCGGATTGACGGTGATAAATTATGTACTCAGTTTAAGTTGAGTAAGAAAAAGCAGAAGCTTCTCTAATTAAGACTGCTGACTTTTACCTCACAAGTCGATACCACCTCACAAGGTCGATCATGACGCCTCGAGACACCCTCGACGCCAGGACTAGGCTTCTAAACGGTAAGTGAAAGCGTACAAAGACAAAGTGATTCAAAAAATATTTCAGAAAGGACACTGACCAAGCATTCGAAAACATTCATTGTAATGCAATCATCAGCAGACTGTGACATGAACGAGGAAGTGTTTGATTCACTGTTGGGTTGCTGGAAAGTTAAGAAAATCAGGCAACGTCAAATCTGCACCGAATAGAAGAGAGACAGACCTGTTTGAGATTCTCTGTCCTAGAAGAACTTTTTGTTTCAAAAACAAGTGCAGTGTCGTCGTTGAAAGTCGAAATGGACGACTGAAATTTAAGTAGTCAACATCAGTAATTGAATTGAGCTATCTGTCACAACAGAATAGGTCTGCAGCCTCTAACCTTGTCGGAATTGCTTGATCTCAAGAGTGGAGTTCGCAGACCCGATATCGGCTGACCTGGTTGGGTGTTCAAACAAGCAAACTTGAAAAGGAAGCGGTGTATAAAAGACAAAGAAAATCAAAGAAGTCAAAAAGGATACGTTCAACAATACAATGAGAAGACTTACTGTGTCATTTGCAGTACGCTCGAATTTCGAGACGTTGATGGTAGCGTTTGCGACGCCTGGAAGGTGGATGAACCGAATTAATGCTGTTTTTTATAATCAACATATCGCTTATAAACTCCAAGGAACGCACCATAGCTTTTGGAGTGGCGATCAGCACCTTTTAGCACCCCTTCCAGTGCTGCCAGTGTGTCATCAACCGATCCTATCAATATTTCGATATTAATGATTTAATTCAAAAACACTATTCAGACAAAGAGTGCCAGACACCGAAGCTCACTATCTACAAGGAAACGTGCAGATTACTTCTGCCATCTAGAGGGTGGTGTACATAAGAGTGCCTCAAGACGAATGCTTAATTCTGTTTTGAAATCTTTCGAAAGTATCTAATAGGAGCAAGTTCTGAGCAAGTTCTTCTCAAAATGACATCTCCAAGCTTGTTTGTGAATAAAAAAGGATAAAGTTTTTGGCGTTGGTCAATCTCGTCTGAGGGATGCGCCCACGCACTCGACTTCCACTCAGAATTGTAGTGGCGTAATGAGTGCGTATGTGGCCTATACAATGACTTGCGGTGGCCAGCTGATGGGCAAGTCAGTACTTTTATCTTCACAGACGAGTCTGGTACCAATTCATCGACCCCGGAGGGATGGAGGGCTTGGTTGGCTTAGGCGGGCCCCTATCCGGGATTCGAACCCCTGATCGTGCGTGTGAGATAATGTGCCACTTGCCATTACACCACCTTCGCCCGTCTTGTGAATAAAAAAGAAAAAAGTGATAGAGACCGGCTACGGGTGGAGAAGCCGATAAGTATGAAGGCAAGCACCTGCGCACCATACAGGATACGCGGCTGTGTTAAAAAATCGTCCCTTGCTAGAAGAAATTCATGTCCATTCCAAGAAAGAAAGTCCATTTCAAAGAAACGTACCGGCAGCTGTAGTGCTGAAGGACATGTCAACGCAGCCGTATTGTGTGTTGTTGGAACGACTCCCACTCGGTTGATAGGGTACTTAACAAATAATGTTGAAGGTGTCAAAGTGACAAAAGAACTTTCTTACCAAGCTCCTCTCCCGAAGTTGTCTGACACAGTGACATGTCGACCGGAGAGGGAGTTTCTAGAAACAAACTGTTAAACACACTGAACGGACAAAGAAAAAATCGGATCATTACATCCAATTGGTGGCATGAAATGACCCAAAATACTACCTTGCCGAAATGTTGTATCACATATAGACATGTCTACAGATGTATGTTTCGTTACTTCATCAGAATCCAAGTGTCGAGCCGTTGGAGGACACTCTACAAGAAAAAAGTGTCGTTCAATCTTTAAAAGTAACAAATTGCGTGTAAAGTTCACCTCCAAAGCAGAGCATAGTGTTATCTCCGAAGTTCGAGACTTCTAAGCGTTTGCTTGTGTCTGGGGGAGGAGTCGGTGTGATATGGCCTTTTCCAGGACTGAAAGTTATAGTCTATGAAAAAAAAAACGTAAAAAGGCACTGCCACATAAAAAATGAAAAGTCTTAAAATTTAAAATAACAGACGTCAAAATTCCGTCTGAACTCATCGTCTCCTGAATTTTCTCCCTGAACGGTGACCCATCCAGTAGATTTAGGTTGTCCTTTTCAAAATTTCTGAAGAAAGCAGGAATAAAAAGAATATGAAATCTCATATGTTCAGCAAAAATCAAACATGAAACTATGGATTGAACAGCAAATTTTACTTACTGCACGGTCTTCACATTATGAAAACTGACACGTCGTTTCATAACTTGTTTGGTAGTGTCATCTTCCAAAGTGACTTTCTCCGAAACTACCTCCGTTTGCCGTACTTTCAGAATCTGTAGTATGAGAGCAATAAAAAGTCACTGGACTATACCAAAACATGGAATCTCACCGAGCTTCGACGACTCTTGCGTGGTGGTCGATCCATGACTGCAAAAAAAAGCTCACACTTACGATATTGCTACTACGACCACGAAATAAGCGACAAAAAACAAAATTTTTCTAACAGCAGTTTATAAGCTTTTCTTTTTCAAGAGCATGGAGATTGGCGGCAATCAGTCAATTTTCAGTACATTACAGTGTATGAACGCCAGGTGATCGAAGAACCTAGAATCTTTACCGAGGGGATGGACCTAAGGGCTACCGTTCTAGCGATTTACAAAAATCTGATCACGGTTGAGAAGCCTCTTAAATCAACTTCTCAACCTGCTCTCGTTTGTAATTCAAAAAAAGCAAAAGATGAAACGGATAAATGTGAAAACAGAAACGGAATAGTCACCAGTGTGTTGGTGACTATTCCGTATAGCTCACTAAGTAGAATACACCAACAGCAGTATGACAATGAAGGTTCTCCAAAAAGACCTTATGTACAAAATCCTCGAAGAGCTCAGGAAAACAGCTGAGTAATGCAGCACTTATGCCAAGGTTCATAGAAAGCCGTATGTAGAAATTACTTTCCCATTAATTGCTCATACGGTTTTGTAACGAACTACCGAAGATGTTTTATATTTTACGACATTCTGAAGAAGTAGAGAGACAATGTAGTTTTCCGAGGTACATGAAGAGAAAAATTACCGGAGTAAATGACAAAAAAACCTCCCAAAAAATAAAACCGAGGCGAAAAAGAAAAAGTTGTGTGTGGTCCTCTGATCTCAACCACAACTACGACGAGCCAACCTAATGAGCAACAGCTGAAAAATGATGTCAGCACCGATACGAAAGCAAAGATACAAGATAAACCTTGATACAATGCAGATACACAGCAGGCGAAAAGTACGGGCAACATTAGAAATAAAGATATTAGAGAAGTAAAGTGCAGAACTGCGGGAGCAGAGTCTAGGCACAGAAACAGTTTCTGATTTGCGAGTTAGCAATATGAGATGAACTGTTGAAAAATTGATTTAACTTCCTTACTTCTTATTTTTTTTCCCCTCGAAATTCAAAGCCGGAACATTTAAATTTACAGACATTTTTATTGTCATGTCGTAGGCTCTTTGAAAGCACGAATAAAAGTTTGAATCGTTGTTGAATTGCTATCTTTCACATCAAAATCAAAATAAAACTGAAGTTTTTAAAGGGGCATGGTAAATGCGCACAGGCAAAATTCAAATGTTTTCAGTTCGCGCAATATTGTTTGGCATTGGAGCACAATAAGTGACCTTCGCTGCTGAAGCTTTTCCGTAAAACGCGTGGTAGTCATGCTGCTGCTTCTGCTATAAAGCGAAATATTTCAAGCACTCTGCTTCTAGTGTATCGGACGATGTCTTCACTCAAGGCTGTGGTTAAGGTAATAGGCTCCTTTGGGCAATCTCTCCTTCATTTGCCATCATTCGGGAAGTCAAGGAATTTGCCTGAATTCTAGTAGAAGACTGTTCTCTACTACGACCGTCCCACAAGTCCCTAACACCTAGTAGACCACTACAACATATTCAAAAACTCTAACTCTGTTAATCTCAGCCAGGGGATCCAACTTCCAAGTGTCCATCTACGCTAAAACTTTCACTCGACACTGTCTCACAATTTGCAAAACAGGATATAAGATAGAAATTTGGTCTTTAATGACCATGTGACCATTCTGGTTGCCAAGCCTTCATTTCACTTATGGTTGTAAAGCATTTTCACAACATTTTGATGTCACACCCCCTAATACTGCTGTGACTTGCATAGGCCATATCTCCACACTTATTCTGACCTGATTCACGACCATTCTAGTGATTTTTTCCCAAAAAAAAACTCTCTTGAATGGCTTCATAAATCATCCGATTGTAGCTTTGCACTGGTCGCACGATGTATCGATCGGCGCCGACCCTGGTGCGCTTTGCCATTCGCCCATCAACCAGCGCGAAGTATAATGTAGCCATTCTGTCTGAGATCTGTGCATCCGTGTATTTAAGTAAAAGAGCTCCTTTCCTCGCTGAACATCCCCATGCACTTTATATACGGCGACTGCCAAGATGGAAGCACTTTATCCGTTCAGAGCTTCGTTGAGTTATTTACGCCGCCGTTAGACCTTCTGTGCACTTTGTGTACTTTCCATCGTTACCCACAATCGAGAGCGCATGAAAAGCCTCGTCATTGTTAACGATCCGAAAAATTGTTGGCGTCAAGTAGGTACTACGACATGCTCTGAACAAGGATTATGCGATCCCAAACCTGATCTATTGGTCTTACCACGCAAAATGGCTTCTCAAATTTCCTCCTAAGAACCTGTGGCCCCCAAGGACAGCACGTGAGGCACTGTCGGGTCGAAAAACGGATTCGCTAGGGTGTTATGCGGGCTTAAAAGCGGATTTAGCCGACTTACACACCCCATAGTGCCCGTGTTATGGCGGCTTGTTAAAGGCAGGGTTCATAATTTTGTGGTACCCGTTTTTATTTGAAAAGCGGAAGTATAGATTGGGATTAATCCATCCGTAGTAAAGAAACCGAGAAAATTCGCAGATTTCGAGGAAAATATGGCTCCTCAAAGGTAGGGAAAATAGAGGTTGGACGAGATAGCCATGACGGAAATAACATGGAAGGGGTATTCGGACGAGATTTCAGCTATTGCAATTCCACAAAGAGCTGACAACATCAAGCCAGAACTGTACAGAACTGTCTTTCACTGCCGCTATGGGTGATGACAAGTTGTTTGAACTTCCTACATGAGTTCCTCTGTGATTGGTGGAGCCTCTACAATGCCGGTGAAACTCGTCCGATGATTCACACAGGCCAATATTTGAGCCTTTATAACTTCCTAACTAGGCCGTTTTCCGTCCTAATAGTGCCAGATATGGTGTACGCGGGGGCCTCAAATTCATCCTGTGGGGGTATATCAGAAACTATTTTTGTCGTGAACTGTGCCTTAAGCTGCAACATTCACAACGAAGCATTAGGACGCCGACAAACAGTATTCTTATGTGGAAGACATCCGAACCGCTACAGGAAGGCCTATATTTCTCGAAATACGCCAGTTTTTGCGCTTTCTTCGCCATTTTCACTACTGTGCACCGTAACAGGCACTATTGCATTTAAGCTAGATTTAAGCTGTGTTTCTGATTAAGAACTCATTTCGCAGGACAACCTGTTTACGAGCTTCACCTTATATACACGAGCAAATCACCCAGGATATGTCACTGTGCGTTAAGAACGATTCATTATCGATGAGCAATAAAAAAATAAAAAGAAACTAGATCATTGAACTGCAGTGCTGAATATTGCATTCTACTTAGGTACCATTGTAAAAACAAAAGAGATCATTGCAGTGAAAAATTAATAAGCATTATGATATCGCTACTAATTTACTGAGAGAAATACTTACGCTACGTACAGATTACAAAGAATTAAAAGAAAAGCTAGAACATGTTCCGAAATTGGGAAGAATGACACCGAAAATCATTGGGAACACATAGCATGCTCATTAAATAACATGTACTTAGAAACCGTGAACAAACAGACATGTTGCTATAATTATTAATGGAACAGCATCTGATACCAGCAAGATAGGGCGAGAAAGATCGCGGAAAATAAATAGACTAAGCATTTTTGACAATAGCACAGAAGAAATTTCACTAACTCAAAACTCCTGGGGTGCAAACACAAGTCACACTAAAAATGTTGTCTGATTCAAAAAAATTGCCTTCCCTGAACTCATCTCTTCATCAGAAACCTATCATAGGGGGATCTTTTGAAAAAGCAGCATTTTTGGCAGACAAAAAATGTCTTAAAAAGCTCATCATCACACAATTTTCGTTTGAAAGTGGCGGACACGGTGATACAGATGTCCGACCAAGACATATTGCACTTAGTACATCAATGGTCTATGTTCTTTTCGAACAAGATATGTACGCAAGCACTATGATTCAATTGAAATGAAGCAAGTTAGGGCTACATATATCTCATTTGTAGTTTTCATTATCGTACCCAACCGTATGAGCTTTCGGGCTGTCCCAAATTACCTCGTAACACTTGCACGACAAAGACGAGAGTCCGTCTCACGGAGACCATATTTCTGCTGTGAAGAACTAACTTCCTCCATGTCCATGCTGCTACCCGAAGCGTTGTCACTATTTTCCTCTCGGCTTGCGAAAACGCCTTTTCCTCGCCTGAATCAATCGATTACAACAAGGCCCTAGTTTTTCAATAGAATTCTCACCGTTCGCATGTCATACATTCGCAGTTCTCATTACCCTCCCCGAAAAAGTCTTCACCATAGAAACATGTTATTTCATCTCCTGGTTTCAGTTCGCGAGAAACCTAAAATGACGTATTCAGCTTATTCGTATTTCACCAAAGAAAGTTGACAGAAAATAAAAAATAAAGATAGCAAGGCAGGCAAAAGGACAGCACCTGAATGTAGGCAGTGTGTCCATTAGGAACAAACCGGCAGGTGGGTCGACAGTCATGGTTGATGTAAGCTCCCGGTCCCAACCACAGCTGAGCACACTTTTTCCTTAAAAAAAAAGGAGCTGCTGAACAGGTCGGAGAAATAGAATGAATAACTGGTAGTACCTCGTGCTATACATGACAGAGAAGTCATTCAGTCCAGGCCGCAAAATTTGCTCTTCTTCCTTTTCATTGAGTTCACTGATAACCCCACAAAGACGCTCGATCTTATCACCACGTTGCCTGAAAAGTCTTGCACATTAGGTGCCGTTTTCACTCATAAACAAGGTTAATTAGCACCAGTAGCGGGTCGCAATAAGTTTTGCACCCATGTTCTGCTCAGCAGCATATCGACTACAAATATCCATTGTGAATCCGGCCTTCGAAGAGAACACATTCAGAAAACGGATAAGCTGCAAACAAATAATTAGTTGTTTCGGGCTCATATATGTGGTGCAACCTAAAATTTGAATAAAAAGGACACAAGGATGTCAATAGATATTGAGAATTATGTGAATCCTCAACGCTGTCGAAAAAAAAAGATCAGAGAGGTTCATTTGTACACAAAGTGTCTTTACCCTGTTTTTCTGAATTATGAATCATCGCCTATGGATGGCAAGTTAACAAGACAGGAGGCAAGCTCTACTAAATTCTATTCGACGACAGCTGGAGTTTAAGGTGTCTTCGAAAAAGTTCTGCAGTAATATCATTGTAACAGAACTTGAGTGACCGTAATATGCTACTAAACTCAAGATTCATACTGCAGTGAATGAATATTTAAACTTCTGGTAGAAATGAAACACTCCCAACACAAAAAGTTGGACCGCTTCTACGATCGAAGGCACTATCACTATTACTACTACTATTAGGATAGAAGGAAGAGCATTACTTATTGAAAACGCCAACTGCATTCAAAGTGTTTGAAGCCCTTTTGCATATAGGAAGGAGAACAAGCTCCACAGAACAAATTCTTGCAGAAATATTATTTCGACGATTTTTCTAGACCTAAACCCTTAATGAAGCAATGTCGCACTCATAAGCCCGAATAATTTTAGAGTATACAAATCTGACCCTTTCGATCTTTCTTGTTTTCACTCTACAGTATTTACGCACCTTGGATCGTTGCTAAACATATTACTACCTTATCACTACTGCCCTTTCCTATGACCAAATTCTTTTTCACCTTCGATTTCACCCATTTCATTGTTTTTTCATTCTCAATGTATCCTTTTCACTGTTGTAGGTGAGGTAGAGGGACATTTCCATTTTCTCAGTGACACATGACATCACCACACATGAATATGATACTGCAATTTTGAGAGACTTTCAACCAGAACTCGTTCCATTTCATCAATAAAAATCCTCTGGAAACTCCCTTTCATAATTCGTTTTTTTGTAAGGCTATCTGCCAGTAAATCCTCTCCGTGCCCAATTACGCGCGATATTTTGCCTCACTAACGTAGATTTTTGTTCTCAAGTGCAATTGCCAAAAGCGTTGAATGCAAAATGGCAAACTCACATGGTCTCTGAATTCAATTTGTTTCTGAAGAGGCAGACGCTGGAGGAACTCTTTCACAGATCTCAATGAGAAGAAGTCCGACAGCGCAACAGCAAAGTTGTTCGTCTGCCGGAAGTGACGCATAATACTCATAGTCAGCAACCGTTCGTCTTGTTTCAGGTACCTCTTCCTGAAGAGGTATGGTGTTGAAAAGATCATTTCTAGACCTGTTTCCGCAACCTAATCCTTGGTTTGAAACTTTACCAGTTTTCCAACAGCGTTACTGAAAAGGATTACCCTACAATACGTGGCAAGACTCACGAGAGGATGGATTCCTGAAGATCTGCCTTTCGAAGCCATTCAAAGAGGCCTAGCCGATGTTTACACTTTAAACTTACCAGCAAAGCAAGAAAACAACCCTGGCTGTTGATTACCACTAAAGGATATAGTAAGAAAAGAAACCAGAACCCAGAACAAATCGCCGAACCAAGGTAAGTTGAGCTTGGTGAGTTCGGTTGCTGACTAAATTTCAGCACATTCACAATTCCTCTAAGCATTATCAATTGTACTGGGACATCTCATCGACGTCTACTACCTCATTTTACAACGCAACTGCACTACAAAAACCTGTAATTTACTTTTTTATAATTTGTAACTCGCAATTTTATTTTTAGTCTCATCACTAGACACCACATCTGCAACAACACTTAATCCTCTTCAGGGGTCAATCGATACTCTGTGAAGACTCACGGTTTTTTTTATGTAGCTGTGCCAGTGTTCTAACCGGCTCCAGTAAAACCTAGCGAACAACAAGTTCCCATTTTCATATGCGCATATGTGATCCATCAGGTATACTCCGAATCGATTTCGAATGTGCTGGGGCAATGACGTATTACCAAAAAAAGCAGACGTTCGATCAATTTGTTTGCTTTTCCCCTGCTCTCATATACGATTTTCGTATATCTTGAGAATCATTGAGACAAGTAGCCTAAGAAAGTAGAAAGCAAGATTGCTGCACACACTTCAACTTGTTCGCCTAACACAGCTGCAGCCGGACAAAACGTAGCATAAAGCCCTGAATCCGTCCGGTGACTTTCCAAGTTACGAATGACTAACCCTTGAAAAAGTCGCGTTGTAATGGAAATGGAATTGAAGCAATTACAGACACGTTCCTCGCTTGAGTCCTATGCAACGTTTGAGGTACGATTAGTAATGAACCCTGTGCATAAGGGGAACCATGCAGTGGAAACCAAATGACCCTTCTAAAACAAGGCATCAATTGTAGTGTGATCAATAGAAGGTAGAGAAGCTCCCTGAATGAAACCCTAGTCACGGTTATACTCAACATCTGAGCTACTTACATAGGCTATGCAATTTTCATTTTTTTTTTT